TTGTACATTTGGTCCTACTCAAATGCCTTTGCACGCTGCCAGAGATTTAAACCCCGACCGAGGCGCGTGGCTAGAACATCCGTTGTGAGAAATTCTAATCACGAACTATTTATAAGATTAAGTGTTTCTCGTATGTAAGTCCAAGTAACAATCCAAGTTTCTCCCTGAAGCAACGTCCATGTGCAAGTTTATTCCCCATGTATCCCTGGGAACTCTTTAGTCAAGTTAGGCCCTCTGGTTAGGTTAGGATGTCGGATATATATATATAAATATATATATATACATAAATATACACATACGTACGAGTAGATGCACCAGATTTCGTAAAAATTCCAATTTAACCGATGCTATTTGTTGGCAATTTTGGTTTTCCGTTTCCTTCTAAACACAATTATTAAATGACACGATTTAGGGTAAAAATGAAAGAAATACAATGCCCAAGAGATTATATATCCCTTAAACACCACTTGCACACAGTGCAACATACCGTAGAGATTTATCGCAAAAGTGCTTGCAATAATTACTTCTAGAATATCTCTTATACACGACTTGTTTTTCCTTTTCCCAAATTAAACCTGCATACCTAAAAATCTTAATAAATTTCCCTTTTTTCAAATCAATACAATTGTGTTTTCTTCCGATACTTTTGCCGATAAAATTACTTATTCTAGAATATCTCTTATACACGACCTGTTTTTCCTTTTCCCAAATTAAACCTGCATACCTAAAAATCTTAATAAATTTCCCTTTTTTCAAATCAATACAATTGTGTTTTCTTCCGATACTTTTGCCGATAAAATTACTTATTTAATTTAAAGGTCAAGGTAAAAAAAAAAAAAACAAAATTTCAAACTGTTTATCTCAAGTTGCGCTGATAAGCTGAACGGTAAAATTCGATTAAGCACCATGCTAATCGTTTTAATAGAAATATACATAAAAGGTTTTGTTTTGCATGTTTTATTGTTGTTTTAGCTTTTCGCTTCGCTTACATTTACAAGTAGTTTATATATATTTTTATATATACTATATATTCTCTACAACATTTACGATCGATCTCTGTCAATTCAATTTATAGCTGGTTTTACTCGATTTCTTTTATTTTCTCATCGATTCACTTAATTTAGGGACTCTTGTCTCTCCGTTTTCTAAGTTTTTGTTCTATAAGCGACCCGGTTTTCATTCCTTCGTTCATTAAATGTATTATTGATTATTTATGCGATCGCCTTTGCTCCGCTTGTAGTCATGTGAGTAGAAGATGCTGCTAAATATGCGCTAAGAGTACACTTATTTAAATAGTTGCTTTTTTCGATTCGGTTTGTTTCGCTTCCGATGACGCCTTATGTAAGTTTAGAGCGGGCGGGGATTACACACAGTATAGCAATAACTAGTTTTACTTTTAATTATTTTACTTTACTTTGCTGGCGGGCTTAACATTTAACACGACGAGGAAAGCTGAGAAGCCGATACTCGGAACTAATTGGTAAGGATCGAGGGGACTGGGGGCATGGGTGACAACAGTTGCAGTGGAGATAGATTTGGAGTGGATCGATTTGTTTCAGAAATATGCTTGGCTGCAGAAGCAATCTTTTTGACAATTCTAAACCACTTCGCCTGAGTGACGAAAATTTACCATAAAATAATAACGATTCCTCTTTATAAAACAAATTCCTTGTAAAGGAAATACTAATCTTGTATAGAAAGAAAATATTAAGGTTATTTTTTAGCTATGACCAAGTGATAATGTACTGAATTTGTTTGGCTTACAACAGAACAGGTGTAAAACATAAAAGACTTAGGTGTCGGTTTAATTTATTTTAAATTTTCGTATGTGTTACTTTTTCAAAACCAGGAATTATTCCTATGTATAATTTACAATATGGAGTTTTAAAAAGGGAAGAACATCAATGCTTGTAAAATATAAAAACTCTCTAGGCTAATCGGCTTAGAAGCATCTAAAGATACATTTTTGCAATGGCTCAAATCGACCCACTCAAGAATAGAATAAAGTTTAGGCTTAAACACCCTGTATCATATCATTCGTGGCTTATGCGAATACGGCTAGCCTTAATTTACAATTGGACACGCATGTGGATCAGCTCTCTACGATATAGTTACATACAATTGCGCTCTGCACAGCAGGTAAATAACACTTTCGAGTATATATTCAAATATAGTATTCATGTAATCGTATTCGTATGCCGTATATGCGATCTATAAGTGTATGTGCTATGTGGCATGCATATTGCACTATTCCTCAATGGCTGCTCGACTGGCTGGCTGGCTGGCTGGCTGCGGACCTGGATCGCGTCGCGATCTGGATCGGGATTGGGTCTAGCAGGTGTGCACCCTTAGGTGGTTCTGCAGCGTGCTCTTTTGCCGGAACTGTTTGGGGCAGTAGGAACAGTTGTAGGGCTTTTCGCCGGTGTGGATCTTCATGTGGTTGTTGAGCGTGGCCACCTGCCGGAAGTTGACCTCGCAGATCTTGCACTTGTACGGCTTCTCGCCGGTGTGCGTCTTGATGTGATTGACCAGAGTGCTCTGCTGCGAGAAGAACCGCTGGCAAACGCTGCAGCCGAACGGCCGGTCCGGATTGTCGCCCTTCAGCATGTTGATGTTGCCCACCACGGTCACGCGGCCCGGCGGTGACCCGCCCGTCTGGAAGTGCTCCACCTTAGTGTTGGCCGCCGCCGTGGCCACCACCGAGCTGACCGTGGTGCTGCCATCGAGGAAATGCAGTAGCGGATGGTGGTCCAGCTGGATGATGTTCGGCGTGCTGCCGTGCAGGTTGTTTGGCAGCAGCCCACTCGTCAGCTGCTGCGTTCCGGGCGCCAGGGGAGCGGGCATTGAGTGATCCACTGCAGGTTGGCGGTACGGAGTTGGCGTTGATTGGATGGTTTGTCGATGTGGGCATGCGTACAAGATTTAAATAAAAGCTTCGTTAGGGAAGAGCGTTAATAATCGATGCACACAGTGATAACAGAAAGCGGCTCATTGGTAGGGCGAACACACAAGCGGCTCACCTGTGGCTGTGACGGCGCCTCCGCCGCCTCCTGCTCCGCCGCCACCAGGCGCGATCTGGTGCGTGTGCGTCTTGAGGTGGTTGGTGAGGGTGCTCTGCTGGCGGAACTGCATGTGGCAGTAGGAACACGTGTACGGCTTGTCGCCCGTGTGGATCTTCTTGTGGTTGGCCAGCGTCGCCTGCTGACTGAAGGACTTGTCGCACGTCTCGCACTTGTACGGCTTGGGATCGATGTGGGTCCGTTCGTGGTTGTGCAGCGTGCTTAGCTGCGGGAAGCGGCGCTTGCAGACGCTGCACTGGAACGGCTTCACCAGCTCCTCGGCCGCCGGCGAGCTATAGCTGCCGGAGTACAGGGTCTTTGAGATTTGGACGCGCTGATGCTGCTGCTGGTAAACCTGGTGCATCTGCGACTTCCTGTGCTTGCCACTACCAGTTTGCGGCTGGTAGTTCAGCAGGGACGTCGGCGTGCTGGACTCCGCCGCTGTTACCCGGAAACGAATCGAGAAAGGGCAGTTAAATCGTTAGCTCCATCTGGATGGCGCGCCCACACACTCACCCTTGTGCGTCTTGATGTGATTGATCAAGGTGCTCTGCTGGCGGAAGTCCTTGGCGCAGATGTTGCAGGTGAACGGCTTCTCGCCGGTGTGGATCTTCACGTGGTTGGTCAGCGTCGAGATCTGGCGGAAGGCCTTGTCGCAGTGCTTGCACTTGTAGGGCCGCTCGTCCGTGTGGATCTTCATGTGGTTGCGTAACGTGGTCAGTTGCCGGAACTTGTTCTTGCACACGTGGCACTGCTTCTTCTTGCGCGGATCATCCACCACCACCTCCTCTTCGCTGATGACGCTCTGCACCTCCTGTTTCATGGGCGAGATGGGCGTGTGATTGCCGCCACCGCCGTTACCGCTATTCGCCGTGGTGGTAGAAATGTCCAGCAGGTGGACCAGCGGGTGCTGTGGATGGAGCATGGCCTGGTGGGTGGGATGTTGGATGGCCTGCACGGCAGTCAGTTGGTGCAGGGCAAAGGGGCTCTGCTGCAGGCTGGCCAGGGTGGTGGGCTGCTGCTGGCCGGAATTGGGACCCGGTCCGGAGCCACCATTGGCTCCGCCGCCATGTGAGGCTGGCAGCTGGTAGTGCTGATAGTTAGCCATGGCCGCCGTGGCGGCGGTCGCATGGTTCAGATGCATCTTATTCGAGATTGGATTCTAGCGCGGATCTATAGTCTGCCCATCGGCGTTATACAATGGCAGCCACCGACGAACTTCGGCCATTCCCTGCCCCGCCGCCGCCTCCTCCGCCACCACGCTCCTTGGGCCTTCTTTGACTATTGTTATTTTAGCCGTCTGGTTGCACTTCTGTGTACTTTTGCTGCTGCTGCTGCTTCTTCTTCTTCTTCTCCTCCTCTTCTTCCACACGCTGCTCCGCTTCCACGTAGCTCTTGGGGATGCTCGAATGCGCGCCCACTTTGTCGCGCACCGCCCACTGTTTGCTTTGCACCGCTTTCGCTAGATTTTAGGGCGCTTTCTCCGCCGTTTCTGCAATTTTTCCAGGCCACGCTCTTTTTGTATCCGTATCCTTATCAAAACAAAAATGACTGGCGTGGTTTACCAGGGATGGGCGAACGGCCAGAGCTGCACCCCCGCCGCACATCGACTAATCGGCCAACGGCCGACCAGGGCCGACAGCGAGAATATGCATATCGGTGGGTTGCCCGATAGCAGTTATCGGTTAGTCCTGTGCATTCGGAGATGGCAATCTAGCTTTTTTATGTTTAAGGCGGGGCTGTTAATAAATTACATATTAGAAACATCATTAAATAAACTTTGATTATAATGGGTTATTTATTTTTCGTTCACCTCTTACAAGTAGTGGTTTTCTATGATTTTTGAACGCAAATGTAACAATAAAATGTAAAGAAAAATCTGGCTATTATATAGCTATTAGATATAATCAATTTGACTGTTTTTTTCTATCGATAGTTGGCACTGGTTGCACGGCGTGTTTTGCTTGCGTGAAAGGAAAACAAATAATCAAAACAACGGGGGGAGTTTATAGAATAATACGCAGTTTCAGGTACTTTCACCAGCCTGGGTCAAGGATTATATCAGCCATGAGCGAGAGTGAGAAAAAGGAGGAGAAGCCGACGACGCACTCAAATTCATCATCTAGTGACGAAGAGGAGGGCTCAGGTTTGTCTAGAAACTCTGGATTTCGCTGTCACCTATTAACCAGTTACGATTTCAGACGCCACAATGGATATGATTCGTCGCTTCTTTGCTCACACTCTGAATCTGGGTGGCTCCACGGACGCAAAGGCAGACCTCAAGGTGGAGAAGGTGAGAGGCAGGAGGAGCGCCAGATAATTTAATTATCATATTAATGAAGTCTCATACTCATATATTGCCAGGTTATACCCAATTTGTCGTTCGAGGGTTTTGCCGACCACTGGCGTGAGCATGGATTCCGGAATATTGTGACCATGGTGGGAGCCGGCATTTCCACTTGTGGGTATAATTATAGTTACCTCAAGAACCCCAACTGTATGACTGTTTCTTAGCTGCCGGCATTCCGGACTTCAGATCGCCTGGTTCCGGGCTATACAGCAACCTGAAGAAGTACAAGCTGCCACATCCCACGGCCATATTCGATCTGGACTATTTCGAGAAGAACCCGGCGCCGTTTTTTGCCCTGGCCAAGGAACTGTACCCGGGCTCCTTTATTCCCACTCCGGCCCACTACTTTGTCCGTTTGCTGAACGACAAGGGTCTGCTGCAGCGCCATTACACCCAGAACATAGACACTTTGGACCGACTGACGGGTCTGCCCGAGGACAAGATCATCGAGGCACACGGTAGCTTCCACACCAACCATTGCCAGAAGTGCCGCAGGGAATACGACATGGCCTGGATGAAGGCGGAAATCTTCGCCGATCGTCTGCCAAAATGTGAGCAATGCAAGGGCGTAGTCAAACCGGACATCGTCTTCTTTGGCGAGAATCTGCCGGAGAGGTTTTATACCAGCCCCGATGAGGATTTCCAGGATTGCGATCTGCTCATTATTATGGGCACCTCGCTGGAGGTCCAGCCGTTTGCTTCTCTAGTCCAAAGGCCTGGACCACGATGCCTGCGCCTGCTGATCAACCGCGATCCCGTGGGTCAGGCCAGTTTTGTGCCCTGGATGGATCCCCATGAGCGATCGCTGCTCTACGACAAGCCCAACAACACGAGGGACGTGGCCTACTTGGGTGACTGCGATTCTGGCGTCCTGGCTTTGGCCAAAGCTCTGGGCTGGGAGGATGAGCTGCAGCAACTCATTACCAGTGAAAAAGAGAAACTGAATGCCAACCAGCCGCAAAAGAAGAACAAGGAGAAGGGCAACGATAAACCGCATTCAGACCCAGATGACACAGCTTCCAGCAGTGAAACCAAGAAGGACGCTTCGCTCTAGACCCAGAGATTAGTTAGTACGATTCGTAGTTAATTTGTAGTTGTTGAAGTGTGCAATTTGTTAACATGGATTACGTGGTTAAAACGGACAATGCCATGTGCAGGCAACGCTGGCTAATACCGCGCGTTTCATTTCTCCTCCGTTTCCGGCATTCAATTATTCAAGTGCCATTTGTGAGCCATTAGCGTGTCCCTTTGGCCCGACCACCATAAACCGCAAAAACTGATTGAGTTGCTCTGTTGTTTCCGGTGCACAAAAAGCTGAAACCGCCAACAAAGGTTAACTCTCGACATGTTTCTGTTTTGCTTTCTGTCCTGATCCGGTTTCGGATTCGGATTCTGGTGCTGATACTGATTCTGATTCAGTTACATCTGCCGCCCTCGACATCACGTTGCTCGTCCGCTGTTGTGGGCGTGGCATGTGGAATTCTAACTGCCTGTTTGTGTGGCTTACACAGATGAAGCTCCTGCTGCAGCTCCTCCTGCTGATGCTGCTGCTGATGCTGCATCAACTTAATGACTGGCAATCTGTCCTACAGAAATACACACGCACAAAGCGAAAGAGACAAACACGGCAGTCCAGTAATGAAGCCTCTGCGGTGAATTGGCCAATAGAAAATACGTACGGGCTGCACTAATTAAAACCAAGCTTGCAACCAGGCCAGCGGGTGACCTCCGGCCGGGGCAGGCAAGCGGATATTGTTAATCGTTGACAGGGGCGCTTAGTGGGTGGTGGTTAAAGGCTGCTCTGCCCGCCCATCTAACTGTCCGCCTGTCATCTTTGGCCCTGCCTTGCTGCGGATGCATTAGGAAATCAAATGCAGCCACGGAAATATTGATAGCCACGCAATTTGTTGCAGTTGCAGCTGCTGCTGCAATTCCAGTTGCTGCTACAACTGCTTAGAACTTTGGCAATTAAAGCTAATGGCCTAAGATCTTGTCTATTTGCAATTTTCCCGAGTGTTGCCATCTCAGCGAATGTGTGGCTGCACTGATAAAACTCTTTACTAAATATGGGTATGAAAAGATTTTAAGCTGATTAAAAAAGGCGACCTAAAAATGCTAAAAACTGATTAGTCTGATGAGTCATTGGCATCAAAACACTGAATTCAATGCTAGCTTAAAAATGTTTTACAAATACATATATTTAAAAAAAGCAAAATGAAAAAAAATTTTTTTTTTTATTTATATATTCTTAAAAACCGTCTATTCAGAAAACCATGGTAAAATGGAATGTCACTCTTATTCTATTCTATTGTTATAAAAGTAACTAAAACAAAAAAAATTTAATTAAATTTAAATAGTGCTTTTGTCTAACCATCTTAGGATCATCGAATTTTTAAAAAATCAAAAAATTTCTTTCCATGTCATTTATACCACTTATGTTTTTTTTCAGTGTGTTTGGCCCACTCAGTCAAAATTGACTCAAGTTGGCTCAATATTAACTTGACTTTCACCCCCTCCCCCCTCCGACAAATGCGGAACGCCATTAAGTGCACTCCATACACACGCCATTGAGAAAGCTGTGTGTGCGATCCGAAGGGGCAGGTCATATTTGTGTGAACATGTTTCATATTTGTAATCAAAATGCGATGCTTTTGTATCAACCACAACAACACGCCATCTAAGGCGACCAACCACCACCCACCACCCAACTACTCTAAGCCTGTTCATCAATGGCATTGAAAGAAAGGCGCGGAGGGCGTGGCCGGGGTTGATGAAATCGTGGACATTCCCCGATGTCATCAGCGACAGCTGCGCTCGCGCTTTGATATTGAATTCTTGACATGATTGTGTGGTGCACAGCTTGCCCGGGAATTGATTGAGCCCCAAAATACAGTTTAAAGGCACCATAAACCCCGACCGCAAATAACTCAGGCGAGGCTAATAAAGCAGGCATCGCCATCGATTGTGAAGGCGCCAGCCACAAACCTATTAAGTAGGGCGTTTATTCTAAAATATTCATTTTTATCGTAGCATAAACAAAATCTTTATGAATATTTTATTATTGCTTTAATAAAATGAAAAGCAGAGTAGCTCTACTACGCCGGCTGCCAAATGCCGTCCTCAAAACGCAATTTGTGTCAATAAATATGGGAGCGTGCGAGTGCGTTTGTGTAAAGGGGATAACCTACAGCAGTGTCCAAGATAATAGGATATAAAAATAATGAAATATATTAAAGATCTTAAGGATTTCCCCAACAAATTAAAAAAACAGTAATAAAGCACCTTACTAATAAATTCAATATCTTTAAATAAAACATTGTTTTAAAAAAGATTCTTTTTATTTTGAATACCTTCGTATTTATATTTAATTGCTAAAAAATATACCCTTATTTTACTGTTTAATTTATTTTAGTTAATTATACCTATAGTTGTATATAAATTTATATTGCTGTTCATTTTGAATATTTATTTTCTTTTCTGTTACTGTGAAAGCCTATCAAGAACAAATTTATAAATTAAGTTTTAATCGACCATGTTTTTAAAATAATAGTAAATGGAAAAATGTAAGATAACATTCTAAAGTGTGCCCAGTGCTGTATGTAATGGGTGCTTTTCCTTCCTTTTCGCATATTACATCCTTGGCGAATCAGTAGCAGCCGCTGAAGCTCCAGCATAATCGTTGTAATCATTTTATGTGCATGTTGTATAGCATACTTTTGTAAGCATACATTTTTATTTACGTCTTTGTCAACACAACGCTCCGAAAACGATTGAGTGGGTGGCTGGCAGTAACCCCCTTACCCATATGCAAAATTAAAGTGCGATTTGAAATGCTGCTTGCCGCACGTAGCCAAATTGGCGGTTTTGGTGGCTCCAAATGAGCTGCGGTGGTGTTCGAATGTATCAAATAAATTTCAGCTGCGGTCCGTATTCGACATCCCCGATTGATGTCGATATGATGAACAATAAACATCGTTCGAGTGGTTTTGCAAATAGAATTATTCTCAACAGCCAAAATAAATCTTACCAGGGGCGCGAAACAAAACGAGTTTAGGGATTGTCCTTAATGAAGTGTAACGAATTGGAAAACCAAATAATTTGCATTGATTTCGCTGGTTTTCGGACCGCAGGTTGCATTGATTTGGCGCAGCGGCAAAAACGGGTCCACGGCCAATTGATTGGCCAAAGCCAATCTTCAATGAATAAATGAACGGATGCGGATATATGCGGTGTATGTGGATCCGGATTCGGGTCCGGGTTCGTCAGGTGCATTGTCGAGTGCATTTAATTGTGGCCCAGGATGCACAGAGCACTCCGACAAAAGGCTTTGGCCATAGTCCCTGCAGTGGCAGGAAAAACTCCTCAAACAGATAGAAAGAGAGGAAAATGATTTAGCCAAAATGGTTGGCAGTAGCTGGACGATATCTATTTTTTTTTCTGTCGCTTTTTCAATTTGCATCTCGTTTTGTTTTCTGTCCGGTTCGATTTGGTTGGCCATCGGTTTTTGCGGTTAATTGAAATTTTTCATTTGGCCCGTTTTGGTCGACGCCGCCTCAGCGGCTTTAAATTCATTTTGAATTGTTAGTTCTAAGCCCCGGACAATTCCCGGGCGAGTTCGCAGCCTGCGCCAAAATATGCAATAAATTTCCAAAAGCACAACGGCAACAAAATTCTTTTTTGTCACTGGATTATGTAATTGCATAAACTCTCATATATTTAAATGCATACAGATAGGAATCGATTGGGAAAAAACAATTATCAACATTTAATTCGTTGGCGGCTTTTGTGGTCAGCAAATGCAAATGAAAAATGGAAATCGGTTTAGGCCCAAAGTAGGAACGATTCTTGCCCAGCTAAGTCAAGGCATTAGCATTAGGATGCAGTTCGACGCGAAAAAAGATTACCAAATTAAACTCATTTAATTAAAGTTATAATTTCGCACAACGAAATGGGCAAAAATGGCAGTAGGGGGAAAAACCATTTAGAGCGTAAAAGAAACTTGCAATTTGGGAAACATTTCCTCAGCCTGTTTATTTCGACTTACCTGTTTCGCTTGCAGGATGTGCCCGGGCACCTAACCAACTTTTCCCCTTATCCTTATCGTTCTGGCCCAAGTCCGACATTGGTAATTTAGAGAAAAATTCTGGGCCAGGGGCGGAGAAGTGACGGGGCAGGGCAGGGGGGTACAAGTATTTTGTACTCGTTACTTGTATTGCCTTTTCGATTTGCACTTTACACGCTTTCATTACACTTCGTTTCCGTAGCAGGGAAAAGCGGCAGGGGAAAGCGAGGAAAGATGGAAATACTTGACCCAAAACCGTTGCATTGTTAGCATTTAAACTGTTTCTTTGCCGTTGCGCTTCACTTGAACTGCACACTCGAGAGATACAAAGACAGGCGAACTTTCCTATGTTAGATGTTCTATTGTTATATACAAATATTTGGATATTCTGTCTTTCCAAACATAGGCTTCGCTTCGATCCATACTCAAAATGTTTCACCCTGGTTTTATGCCAGTTTTAATCGTTTAAATTGGTACCCTTTATAATTTTTGAAACTTCCAAACTTTTCATACTTAAACAAACACAATTTTTGGGTTAGTAAAAAATTTTTGAATTAGTTTTTTTTAAATAACAAAAATTATAAAATATTTGTCTTAGTACATAGAGTGCTTTATAATTGCTAGCTTTCAAGACGATATTGTACGACTAGTAATAGAAATTTTTAATATTATCCACTTGACAATCTAAGTAATTTAGATAAGCCATATAAATAATTTTTTCCACTAAACTATAATTGATCTTAAGTTGTTTATATATTTATGTATTTAATGTAAATGTTGTAAAAGTTATAATTTCTTAAAAGAGATCAAAGCATTTACTTTTTTGTTCGAGCCGTGGAGGATCTACTGTAGTTGGAAGGAAGGAATTGGCAAGTGGATGGCGGGTATTATCTAAATACCCAACAGCAACGTTTTGCAGCTGCAGTCTCATAATCATCCACAGCCGAATCATCGCAACGAGCACTCATCTTAACGTCAGTGGAAACGATTGTTGCCCCCCGAAAATGCCACCCACTTTGGCAGCAACCGACATGCTGCCTTGACACTTTAAGCTGCAATTTCGTTAAAATATTTCCAATCGATTTCGTTGGTTTATCGCCAAGTTTATTTCCACTTTCTTGTTGTTTGCAGTTGTTCTGCTACCCGCTTTTCCCCCCTCCGAAGTGCTGCACATTTTCCTTTTCCACTCTGCCAGATCTTACGGAAATGAAATGTGTTTCTATTTTAGTTTCACAAGCTTTATTTTTTTTTCGTGTGTGTGCATTTACACGCTCGAGTGTTTGCCTCAAACTCGAAGGAAAGGTTTCGGTAAATAAAAAAAGAAGTAGAAGAAATGGCAAACGGCCTCTTCAAATCATGAAAAAATTGCAATTTTCAAGATCCCGAAAATGGTGAACACAAATATGTGCTCCAAGCTGCAGGGGGCCTGGCCTCGACCAAATGCCGAATGGTAAATGTTTGCGCAAACTTTCAACTCGCCGCCCACTCATCTCATTTTTGCAGTGGCAATCTACATAATTGTGCAGCAACAAAATGTTATAGGGAAAACATTTCCTCCCCTAGCACACGCAGCAGCAGCAGCAACAGCAGCAAATGAGAAATTCAAGGACAACGACTAATGCAGTGAAACCGTACAGAAACTGATGTCCTGGCTAATTATCATGCAAATATTTACACATTTCCATGAACTGACAGAGGAATCTTGCAGAGCTTGTCGGATGCTTGTCAGATACCGTCAGATGTCACAAATAGTTATCAAACATACGCAATGTGTGCCGGGCACTTGATGAGCTGTGTGTAATTGTTTCTGACTCGGCATTGAGTACGCAGCAGGTGACAGATTGTGATTGTATTACTTTTAATACAAATAATTTCAAATAAAAAAAACAAGATATTTGATTATAAAGTCAATAAGTATGTGTTAGCAAAGTAAAAAGGCTTACAAATCAGGTAAATAAGCATTCAACTTATTGAAAGATACCATAATTAACTAAAAAAGTAGATAACAAAAAATGACATAGTTATTAATAAACTTAAGTGAAATTTTTGCGATTATTATGTAAATTTTTATTATAGAATTTTTTAAATAAATAAAAATATTTAAAACAATATATAAATTGTGAATATCACATCAAATTAAATGAAAATTTTCTAAATGATTGACCCATTAAGTGAATATTTAAATCAAATTGTTATCCAGTAAATAATAATATATATAACAAGTATAGGCAATGTAAGTTGGAAGTTAATGAACAAAAATCAATTAATTCTGTATATTTGGCCAAATTGCATACAAAGCTTTAGAATTCAAACTAGAATTGAATTGATATAAATTTTATACGTACTTAATATTTTCTGACTCCGTCGCAATTATTGATCACATCGTATTGTTAGTCAGCTGCCGCAGAAAATGAACAAGGGAAAGTCGTGAAAGCGAAAACTCATTTGCATGGCTTATTCCCTTCGCAGTTTCAACGGCCGTCAGCCATAATGAAGTGGCGCGATTTACGCCGAAGCCTTCATGTTGCCATTGTTTAGTTGGCTGCCAAGGACTTCAAGGACATCGCCTTGTTTCGCTATTCATTAATGCAGCAGCGAGCCTTGATTGCCGCGCCCCACTCACTGTTGTTATTACTATTATTTAAATGCAAATGGATGGGCAAATATGCCTGTATGTGGTTTTTACTGGCGGGTAATTTGGCTTTAACATTGGAGGCAATTTAAAGTTCTTTCTACGGCGAGCACTTATCATTAGCATGCAATTCGGTCTAGCAAATTGCCCGCCAGCAGGCACCAGATGAAAGCATAACACAAAACTCTAAGCCACAGACGCCAAAGAGGAAAAGAATTTAAAAAAAAAAAACTTTAGCTAAAAATGCGCCACGCACTCATACTCGCTCATACTCATACGCCCAGCCGTAAGCCTTTTCGTTTTTTGGCCATATGTTTCCACTGTGTTGGCCACTTCTGTAGCTTGTGGGGCCACATTGCGGTCGGTTTGCCGGTCAGCCCGCCTGCGGTTCCTAGTCCTTTCTCCCCTTTTCTCCCCTTGTCCACCGCCAGCATGTTGGTTGTGTGTGCGTGTGGCAGGCGTGTAAATTCCATTTCTGCGGACAGACACGCACGCAGACAAACTACACGTAATCGCACAAATCTGCACTTGTGTCTTGATTAGTGTTGCATACTTCAAGGAGCTGCGAATTTGAAAAAAATTCCATCGGGTTTTAGCTAAAACTAGAATAACAGATAATAAAAAAACGAAATCCCAATAAGTTTTAATGAGTGTACCACATAAATACAAAATTATTACATAATATATTATATAATTTATTAAATTGTTGTAAATGAAAAACAAAAACATTTTATGGAATAATTAAAATTATGATAAGTTCTTACCACATTTATATAAGGTTATTTCTTGATTTTTCTAAACCTAAAAAAAAGGGCAAAATATTAAAATAATATTATAATATAATAATAATAATATTTTGTGAGCCACAAAATACAAACAAATTTCATAACGTACTTTACAAAGTAAAAGTTAAATCACCTTATCAAACCATTGCCCCGTTCGCTTTATGGCCACACGGGAAAGCGTTTAAGGAAAAAAAATACCGTTTCATGGATTTTTAATGCCATTGACTTTCGGACTGGGTTGGTAACACACCGCTCGAGTGTTTAATTGCCCTTCAGTGCCGAGCCATGTGTGTGGGTGTATGCAATGGCGTTTTTTGCTGGTTTTTGGGTGGATCCCAGCAGGTTGTCGAGGCAATAAAATCGCCGCCTGCTGTGCACTCAAATGCCCAGTACCCTACTGCCCGGCTACTCCTCCCTTTCTGACTCTTTGCTGTCGTCTGGACGGGATGCCTGAGTCTCGATCTAGCTCTGCTTTGGCTCGCCAGGAGCAAATCCTTTAATCTGTCTTTCAATTTCAAATAACCCAATGGTTAAGCACTCGCAACACTCGAACATTCACTCCCAGAGTCTGCTTGTCTCGACTGTCCATTTGTGTTCCCACATCGGCGGTGGCGAAGGCTTCGTCGTCCTGCGTCCTGCGTCCTTAACCCCTCACTGCCCACAGAATTTGCTGGCAGACCAATTGAATTGTTTCAATTGACACTTGGCCCGGTCCCGGCTCAGTTTCTGTCGACCATCTGTGGTCCTTTAGTTTCGTTTGGGGCTTTGTTCGCATTCATAATGAAAGTCAGTCGTTTGGCCACAATGTTGTCGCTAATTTGTGGGAGCGCTAATTGGCCCAGTGCCAGGGTTTAGCCTCGGTCACTGAGAAAAATGTAGACTGTAAAATTTAACGAATACTCTTTTATTTAATCTCTGCTTAAAGAAAACAAGGTATTCACAATATGATTTGTACTATTTAAGTCGCGGGCAATACTAACTATTTTCATGAAGGTTAGTATCCTTAAACAGCAACTCGAAGACAACCACAATTATCTTTAAAATACACAATTTTTGTTAGGAAACTTTCTAGTGTTTAACATTGACAGGGTGATATGCTATGACTACTACTTTACTAACTTATCCTGCCTCTGTTTTCCAGTGCTTAGGGTTGATAACGTAACTGAAAGATGCTTTTCCTGACTTTTATACTTACGACTCAGATATGTGAGCTAAAGCCAAGCTAAGGGCTTCCGACTGAATTACCTAGGGCACCCTTTTGTTATGTTCTTGTTTGTTTACTAAATTATGCAAATATCGAAATGTGTACGTTTCATTAGGCTAATGTCTGGGCAAATAGCGCTCATTTCCAGTTTGCGATGATAGGACCAGCCGTAGGTTTTCAATTACATTTCGAATTAAAATCAATTTGCCGGCCAATCGAAGTATAGTCATTAAATGTCAGTCCTATAAAAGCCGCTTTTGGATAAAATGAAATCAAAGGCGGTCGAGATGTTGTTGCAACCGCTGGTAATGCATTTAAGCCACTTGCTCCGGCTTATAGGTAACGAAATTCGACTTAAGACCTCTTAGCCAACTTGTTCTAAGTCCACTCTAGTTGGTCAATACTTTTCTGGATTTTCATCCATTCTGATTGTCTACAATAATTCCGGCATTGCGACACCTCTTCAACTGGATTATTTAAGTGCTTTGGAATTGGTTCTACGGGATTTGCGTCAGCCTATAAGGCTTCAATGGATAAATGTGGCACTATTAAAGGATTTGACGGCCCTGGAGGATCAAGTTATGGGTGCTCTTAACAGCAGTGTCACCGAGGTGAGTTTTTCAAGATTTCCTTCCGAGGAAACATTTATGTAAATAATTATTTAACAAATATTTGTACATATTTCTTGTGATTGGTACAGGGATTTATCACTATCTTGTCGCAGACTAACCACTTTCTTCACGCTCGGTACTATGCCACTCGAAATGCTAATGTGCGTCTTAAAGACAAACGGTATTTGTTTCTTTGCGAGGACGAAAGCCCTGCGGAATTGCTGTCCATAGATATACTGCAGTGTGAGTACAGAATATCGATGTTAATGAAGCCACTTCAGATAACCCCTTTCAATTGAGTGTCCCTGTCTCGTTCAAACAACTCCGTCAGCATCAATTTATTAGCTTAAGCGGTGACTTCTCACCACCTCCCTGGGGGCATGGCAAAACAAGTCAAACTGGAAAAGTTTCCTTTGCCGCACCCACACGAGAGGACTTCCGCGTAAACATGGTCGACAAACTGCCGCAGGACATTCGTGGCCAGTTGATCAAACTTTAGCACTTGCCAATAATTTCAACGCTCGACAGCGTCTTGTTGAATTTCAAACTTGGGCTTTTTTCGGGTTTTGGCTTTTATCTCCTTCTGTTATTTTTATTTCTGTGACGGTCTGCTATTACCCTGTTACCCTGCTGTTACCTATAGTAAATACTAAAATTAAATATGAAATTATAATATTAAGTGCAATGCATGTTAAGTTACATGATCTATAAATTTAAATTAATAGGGAAATTTTAGATTTTATATAGTTCCTATTTGATTTAAATTCATTTAGTTTGAATTAAATATTGCTTACATTTTAAATACATTTTCAGATGTTTAAATAAAACCAGATAATAGTCAAATGAAAATTTAAATAATTTCTTAATATTTTCTTTTGTAAAAAAACTAAAAACCGAAATGGAGGAAAATCAAAAGAAAAACATATCAATTGAATACAAAATATTTGGATTCACAACGTTTTTTTTTACCAATGTGGGAAAGCTTTGAGTCGAGATCTCCCAATTTCTAAATAAAGTGCCTGCTTTTTTTTTTCGCCCTCACCCGATTGTTGTTTCTGCTTGTCCAACAACGGAAAATCGCTGTAATACGCTTTAGTCTATCCCCACCATCTGATGGTGCGACCTGGAACTGGACCAAAAACAAGACCCCCATCACCACTCCCCGAGAGCAAAGAAGGCGCAGCGGTAAACACGAGAAACAAGGACGATGGAGTGGCCCGAGTGGCAGGGACAACCACCACTTCGCCCTACCGCGACATCAATTTCGAGCTGTGGACACAAAAGTTTGTCGGTGCCTTTGGTAATTTGGATGCCCTGCTCCTGGACGCATTCTTGCCGAACCAAACTTTTGCCAAGCGGGTCGAACTTTATCCCAACAAGCTGCTCAATCTGCAGCACCGCAGCCTGCTCGTTGGCTCCATTACTTATGTCCCATATACGATTACTAATTATGTGGTAAGTAATTGCCGGTTAAGTTTATATTTATCGTTTGTTGTTGCCGCACTGTGATAAATACCACCTTATTTATTAGAAATATTTATATGAGAATGTTTTCATTACGGCTAGTTGAAAAATTATTCTTTTTTTTAGGTCTTAAAGCATTAAAATTTATATGTATATGTACCATATACACCAGACAACCATTAAACATTATTTTTCTTTTTTTTTTTGTTCACAATATTTTTTTATAGGTTTTAAGGCCATGTCATTGAAGTAGTTTTTATAAACAGAAATTTAAACTTAAAAGATTGTATATGTTCTAGACATCAAGTATTAGGATTACTTTAGATTGATTACATTTATGATGTTTTAAAGCTATGTACACGTACAGTTTTAAAGAAGTCTTAATACTTACATTTTATATTTGTAGATCTTTTCAGCGATTTTGACTGAAATAAAAGAAATGGGTTGTTAGTTAGATCTTTTTCTATGTGCATTTCTGATGGCCAGCCAGCTTTACCCAAATGCCAGAGATTTGCACCCTAACATTAAGCAAAGCCAATTGGTCGTCCTTGTACCCCTCCCCCCCAAGCTCTTCCATTCCCCCGAAATGTGGAGGACTCCTCATCTTCATCAGGCTCATTCACATCGTTGTCTTTGCATTAGTCGGGCTCAGTGTGCGAACTCATCATGAATAAATGTCCAGTGGTTGCTCCTTTGCCCCACATATGCATGTATGTGTGGGGATTGTTGGTGCTCGTGTGTGTTCGGCGGTGGTGGTGTGGGTGCTTAGTTATTTGGCTTTGTTGTCGTTGTGGGCAACGATTTCGGCAACTAAAATGTAAGCACATGTTGTGATGCGGTGCCCAGTCCATGGTAATCACTGGTGGGAGTTGTCAGGAGCCATCTCCATGATTTGTCCGACTACAAATACGGACTGTGGATCGAAAAAACTTTAGAAAACTCGATCGAATCTTACAAGTTTAAATGTTGTGGACAATTAATAAAATATTTACTTATGCATACAAATTTCGAGCTCATTAAGTACTCTTTTTTTTTAAATCATTGTAATTTGTCTTTTTTTAAATTGGATTTAATTTATTTCACTAAGCGAAAATCTTATATCTAAAAATATCAAAAGCTAAACTTTTTTTGACTTCATTAAACTTACCTTTATCCCACTGTAACCACAGAATCAACGCAAAAAAAACGTGCTTTCGTTGTCATTTGGCAAAAGTTTTGTTCGCACTCAATTGTTTGCCTTAAGGACATTTGCACATTTGTTAACACACGCACACCCAGCCAAACTCTAACTCTAACACACACACCCTCACAGACAGGCAAACAGCCACAAGCATGTGCATGTGGTTTTGTTTGGGGCTTGGCTTTGGATCCTGCACAGCACCAACATTGATTTAAATTACGTGTTTCCATTTAATTGCCGCCCGACGAGCCAAGTGTCGATGTCCATTTGAATGTTACTTTGTGTTCCGAATGGAGTGTGAGTGGCTTTCGGAATTGATGTGGGTGTGGGCGTGGTACAACAAGACTATTAACGTAATTAGCAGAGACACTTGATTGGCCGGCCATAGTTAACCATTGAGCATTAACCCATTGCAGCCTGCTGGCCGGGGAAACGTGGATCCCATTCACCCGGCGAAAGCCAACCGTTCGGTTACCTTCGACGGGGCCGAGGCCAATGTGATGAAGACCTTCTGCCAGGTGCACAACTGCCATCTGAGAGTCGAACCCTGTAAGTCAATAAGGTAGCCAAGAACCTTGATATTTTCCTATACTGAAATATTTGAGCTAAAAATGGGAATTTTAAAATTGTTTTGCAAAACGTTTTAGTAACAATTTCAATGTCTTTAATACTAAGCCTGTTAAATAAATCATTTAAATATTTATAAATGAAGTTTTTGCAAACCTAATTTCAAATAAAATAATTGTTGTATTTTTAACTTGCTTTACCATATTTGCTATCTTAACTATTTTATTTAAATGTTTATTAGAAAATATTTTAATTATTTAACTTTAATTTTCCTTTTTTTTGAAAGAAGGAAAGTATAAATTATTTCATTCTTCTTTCCTTGTGCTACAGGGATTCCTTTATAATTTAGTCCTCATCTCGATTAAAAAAAACAATTCTTGAATTGGTAAAGTCTTTATTTTTTTAAGCTAAGATATTATAAAACAAATTCTTACAGATGGTGCTGACAACTGGGGCGGAATATACGACAACGAATCGAGTGATGGAATGCTGGGCGACATCTACGAGCAACGCGTGGAGATGGCCATTGGTTGCATCTACAATTGGTACGATGGAATTACGGAGACCTCGCATACCATCGCTCGTTCGTCGGTGACCATATTGGGTCCAGGTCCAGAGTGAGTTTCATCGGGCATCCAAAACTCCAAAGTCAAAATAAAAGTCTAACATTTCAGACCCCTACCCAGTTGGCGCACTAACATTATGCCTTTCAGTGACTTTACTTGGCTAATGCTTATAGTAACATTAACGATTTGTGGCACCTTTCTGTATTTCATACAATATGTCAGTTATCATCTGGGGCTTTATTCCAATCAAGAGACATTTCATCATGGTAGGAAGCTTGAAAAATCCATGCTGGACATATTTGCTCTTTTTATACAACAGCCATCGGCTACTCTGAGGTATACTCGTTAATATGAATAAAAGAATGCTGTTAACGTAATATAATATATGTACTTTGTAACACCATTTAAAAATTTTTCAACGAATATATTTTTAAAATATGTAAATATATATATTGTCAATTCATTTTTGCATTCTGTCTTTCAGCTTTGACCGATTTGCACCACGATTTTTCTTGGCGACTCTTTTGTGTGCCACAATCACTCTGGAAAATATATACAGTGGCCAGCTGAAGTCGATACTCACTTTTCCCTTCTACTGCGCCCCAGTAGACACCATCGAAAAATGGGCCCAGTCGCAGTGGAAGTGGGCTGCTCCCTCCATCATCTGGGTGCAAACAGTCCAGAGCTCCGATCTGGAAACGGAACAGATATTGGCCCGCAACTTTGAGGTGCACGATTATGGCTACTTAAATAATGTCAGTTTTATGCCCAACTATGGGTTCGGAATCGAACGACTGTCTTCGGGTTCGCTATCCGTTGGCGACTATGTGTCCACGGAGGCTCTGGAAAACCGTATTGTATAATACTTAAGATTACTAATCCAATTTTTATTTAAAAAATGCATTTCTTGTGAAAGGTCTTGCATGACGATTTGTATTTTGATTATACGCGGGCTGTTTCGATACGTGGTTGGATTTTGATGCCTGAATTGAACAAGCACATTCGGACTTGTCAGGAAAGGGGTCTATATTACCGCTGGGAGCTGGAGGTAACAAATATTGTTGGCTTTTAAATTTAACAACGAGTGTTTGTATATTCTATATTTATTTTTGTATCTCATTCATTTTTAATGTAAGCACTTCTTTACCCTCTTCGCCAGTTTATTGACAAGTATATGGACAAAAAGAAACAGGAGGTGCTTATGGATCTGGCCACTGGGCACAAGGTGAAGGGGGCTCCTCAGGCATTGGATGTGGACAACATTGCCGGCGCTCTGTTCGTCCTGGCCTTTGGGCTCACCTTCGCTGGATGTGCCCTAGTGATGGAGTTTCTGATCCACAGAATGGAAATAGGCAAATAATTTGGCCATTAAAATGATGCCCGCTTGTGCACTTCATCCTTGGGTTTCCAGCGCACGTTTCGCAGCAAACATCATAATCGCATGCTGCACGACACGCTTAAGCCACAAAAAACCCGGATGACAGAGAGGCACTAAGGGAAAAATTTCTATGAAGAATTAGAAATTCACACCTTAAAGATTTTAAAAAATAAATATTTTCTAGTATTTGTAATTGTTCTGAAGAAGCTATTATAGCAAAAGTAGTCGCATTAAAATAGTTTTAAAAATGTCCTAGTTAAAAGTTGAAAATAATATATAAAAAATAATTAAGTATGTTTTTGTTAAGGTTCCGCATTCAAATTTTTATCTTGTATTATTTAACATGAAGAAAGAATTTCCACTTTTTCTAGATAGTATTTGGTGTAAGAACGGGTTTTCTCAGTGCTTGGCGGGTGTACCCATGGCAAAAATATGACGACAGTTTGCAGCCTGAAATCGACCACTGGCATTGTTGGCCTGGGATGGATAAGCGACACAGACGAGTGGCCAACTGAAAAGTGAAAAGTGGTCTCATCTCCTCGGAAAAAGGGTGCAGGGTGCAGGGAGTAGCAGGCTGTGGGGCTCGTTTTGCGGCACTATCTGCCGCACTTGCCACGGAAATGAGGGTGGACTGGGGGCTTGTGGACATGCAAGCGGAAAATGACTTCTGCCCTGTATGCTGCGATAATTGGAAAAGCGTTTAATGCTAGACGAACTCAATTTTGTCGCAGGCACAATTTTTAATGATGCCCTTAATTATCGTTGTGGGAAATTATTCATTATCACTAATTTGCCATAGCTTACAGACCACTCGCATACGCCTGCCCACTCGAAGTTGCAGGTGTTGGAAAGACTTTAGCCAAGCGATTTCTCATGGCCTTCTTATCCTGCCACTCCGCTCCTTGCTCCACCAACCCTCATCGCTCACCTGCATCTGGAAATACGGCTTGTTCAGCTCGTTAACAGCTCGTTTCAAAGCGACAAACAAGCAAACCAACCAAGAAACCAACAGCAACAACAACCACTATTGCAGTCACAGACAGCGGTAACAACAAGTTGGCCAACATGGCGGCTGTGTCATTTCCGTTGTCGTTTCTCCCGTTGCATGGTGTTGCACGGTGTCCTTACTAAATGTATTTAAGTTTTAGCAAAAGTGACTATGTCTTTTTTAGCCACATCAAAAATATGGTTTTAAAATCATGTATAAATATATTATACTATATTTATTTTTAATCCGGAATGCCGAAAAAAGTCTTTTATATTTCATTGCATACTTTTGGACAAATTTATAAATAAAATTTTAAATTTGTTACTCATAGGCATTGTCGACTCTTTCTCAAAGCTTATTCTTTGTGATACAAAGGTTAAAAACGCTTTAGTAATATCCTCTTAATGCCCTTGGAAATTGGATTGGATTATTTAAAGTTTGGGTTTATATTAATTTAACTTAAGCTAAGAAAAAGTGTCTGGTCTGACCTAAAATAAGTATTTCCCAAAGGGTATTTCACGTCGCTGTCGCTACATTTTGGGTCCAAGCTTTTGCATATTTTCGCTTTTGTGTTTGGAATTTTTAAGTGAGTGCGCTCAACTTTGTTTGTTGCTTTTTGCTGCTTCTGCTGCTGATTTGCGGCTGCTAATGCAGCTGTTTGTTTCCGTTTGTTAGCAGTCACTTGTTGTTGCTGCCCAAGTTTGGACATTTCGCTCAGCTCAGTCAGCATGACAATTTGCTCGTTTTTTGGGGTAGCCCAAAAGTTCTCGGATCGAATAAAATTCGGGTATGCTGATAATCGCCGTCAAAGGGTTCAATATGCGGAAGGAGAGATAGAAAAGTTATCCGAAGCCAAAACTCGAGTTCATAACTTTACCATTTGCACTTAATTAAAAGGGCCGCGGAAAAGGGAATATTTTTCACATGCAATCAGCGCAACCTGCAGCGTCTCAGATTTTAACTTAATTTATGGCCAGCAGCCAACAGGCGATAATTGAAATTATATGAAAAGGGAGCCAGCCAGCAAACTGCTTTTCCTTTGGCCGCTGTAAATAAAATAAATCTGTGCGAGGCGTTGTCGCCCGTCCGTGTTGAAATTTACGCGCTCCGATAAAAGTGCTATCCGGACGGGGAGTACGGGGCTCTTGACTCCGGAGTGGATTGGCACGTGCAACTGCAGCCAGACGACAGCCCCGATAAAATATGAGCTCGATCCGGAGCTTTTCGGCGGCCGAGAGGTTGAGGCCAGGCCTTTAAATTGAATTAGCCCCAACGCAAAGCGAGATTCTTGTGAATTTTTAATGGACCACCATTCGAATCGATCCAATTAGAAATTCTGAATATTTCTTGCCCTGCATAATTGCTTGTGTTTTTTGCTGGGACGACGACGTTGCCCGAACAACTGCCTTCATCTCGCATCTCACAGCTCATTATCAACGCAGACGGATATGCCACCATCTCTCGCCTTTAGCGACAATTTTTCCAAGACGCCGGCAAATTTATCGCTCATAATTATTTCATTTTACAGTCTGCTGAAGTTCCCAGGCAAACGACCTCGTCTTTGACGTGCTTTTAAATTTGCGCGGCATTTGTTTGTTTTCTGCCAGCGTCCTTTTAATATTTCACAAGGTGTTTGCTATTGGCTTCCCCCATCAAACTTCTAGCTTAGTCTTGTGCCGCTTAGAAGGCATTACACAAATGCACTTGCTGGCACAGTTTTCGGCTACAAGCCGCTATTGTTCTAGGTATAAAGCGCCCAGCAAACATTCCCCCAAACTTCCTCCTGCGTAAAGTGTGTGTTAGAGGGTGTGCGAGGTGGATGGCGCCAATCAACACACATGACTACGCGGCAGGTGGGAGTTACCTCAGCGCTCGCTGCATTAGCATAATAAAACAACTGGGGGAAAGTTTAAGCCAGTGCTTCACTATTCAATTGCAAAGGACGATGTACCCTGTATAAAGTCAAATGGGTTCACAGAAGACCTTAGAGTAAAATAATCAAGTAAAACACTAATTTGTTAAAAGAAGCAAGTGCAATCTATTTAGATATGAGAGTGATTTGATAACGTGTTAACAAACAAGTTTTAACAACTCATTTTTGGACTACCTATTGTATTTATTTATTGTTATTATTTATTTGTTATATATTTTCTGACGAAAAATATTAATTTATTTGTGGACAAATAAAATTTAATCTGCAAAAAGCAAAAAATCGAGCCATAGCATTTACTTCAACCTTTCCAAGTGATGAAAAGCTTTTGGTTAGTCTTCAAAAAAAAAGAGATATGCTTAATACCAGTTGATTGCCTGCATTCAGAACATTCGCTTTTTCTCAAATAACAGGGTATTACATGCACAAAAACCAGAGACCGCAGAAGTGCAGAGCTGCTTTGGCAGGCTTTTCAACCGATGCAACAGAAACAAAAACAATAAGAGTAACAACAACATAAAAAACGGCAACAAAACCAAGGGAGTCGAGGGAGCAATTAAGCAAACATGTATGTATTTGTGCAAATGCTGTGGGGCTAGTGCGTGAGTGTGTGGGTGGGTGCGTTTGTGTGCTGTGGGAATTTAGGTAAATTGTTTTGCACTTAGCTAAAAAGTTGGCGTGCCAAATAAATACAGGGCACGAAAGCGGCTTAAGCTGTTATCTCTCGTCCTGTTTCACTTAGCTGCGTTTTTGGTGCGGATCTGAATCCAGAACCGGATCGAGATCGAGGGCCATTAATCACGAACGGAGGCTTAAAAGAGGAAGGTATGTATGTATATTGAGTGCTGTACTACTTCAGTGACGTGTGTAAAAGGGGCTTTTGGCTCTGGACCCCCAAACATTTCTAAAATGTATGATTGTTTGGTTACGCTTTAGACCTTAGATTGCTGGTAAATATTATTTTTATTTCATAAAATCAGTTATCCTTTTAGAGGTTTTCTTTTTTTGAGGATTTTTGGTAAGTAAGAAAAGTATATAGGACTTTTAATTTTTAACTATCCAATTTGTATATTTGTAAATAAGTATTTATATATTTTATTAGTTTTTTTTAATTTTTTAAGGTATATAGTTTTGACAAAAAGTTTTTTCGCTAAATTTTAAAATATTGTTCCCCCCAAAAAGTTTTTTTTTGATACCCACCCCTGTAACAGTGTTATTGAGGAGATACATTTCGACTGGCAGGTTCTTTCACTCTCTCCCGGCTTATAACGGTAATCTTCCCTCTCCTCAGCACTCTCTTCCTCCAATTGGAATGACGACGAGTGACAACAGAAAAGTCAAAGCCGGCAAAGCAGCATCGACAACAACAACAACAACAACGCTGCTGGAATAACAGAAATGTAAGTGGGCTCAATCCATTGATTATCCTATCGGAATCTGCCTGAAACAAGACAAATTGCACTCCAGTTGGGATCTATGGCTACCAAATGAAACAGAGCCGCCGCTCAAAGTCTGGCATTTTTTCCTATCCGTAAAGAGTTCGGGCTTGGAATAAGGATAGCGGCAGGAGATGAAGTCCTGGAGAGTCAAAGAGAGTTACCAGGACCAGGGCATAAGGGCAAGCCGTGTCGAAAAGCTGCTGACGTTTTACATTCAAACGCAGAAGGAATAGAAAAAACACCTCAAAAGGCATTACAACGACGTTTCTTTGCTCTGAAAGTGTACTCCTTAAATTGTTTTCCCTTTCTGTGTTTAAAAATACGAATCATTAAAGAAGTAACTTTGTTTTTTTGATTGTAGAAAAAATGTTTAAAAAAATTCTTGTTGTCACTCCTTACAAATCCTTAAAAAGAACAATACATTTTAGTTATATATGTATCTATGCTAGCGATATCACCTTAATTTCAATATTGATCAGACGCCATCCATTTATAATATTATGTCGAGCATAGTCAGCTTTATTTTTCTCGGCTTTTCTGCTTTTATTAACCTAAGTTAAATTATAAATAAACGATGGAGTAATGACATAGTTTTCAAAGTGTTAATAAGTGTTTAACAAGCTTC